TCATAAGGATGTACTAATGAGGTATATATTATTTGAATTTCAACTTAACATATCTACTTTTATTAAAAATATCTGCAATAATTTATTTCATAATAAGAGAATTTATAATGCAATTAAAGGGTTGATCAATATATGGTAAATAAATAAATAATGTGACATAGTTATTGTTCTTTATTTTTCTTACCAGATATATAAGGACAGCCATTGGAGAGATGCAACCTCAAAAGAAAAAATGCTGGCTGAATATTAAGGAAATTAGCTAATGACAAGTAAGCAACTAGACGACCAAGTAAACATCACAAATGTGTCACTGATGTGAAAAAGTAGATGAAAACGGATTTCTAAACAGTAATTTTAATGACAAATGTAGAGCTCAGTTGGATGGACCTGATGGCTGTGTTAGAGGTCAGGTCATGGGAATTGGGGAGAGAGGAACAAATATTTTATGTTGTTATTAAAGGTAGTAAAAGAGTTAAAGAACTTCACATTCTACAAATATGACGATTGCCCACCTTGATAAAAAGGTTTCAGAGACCATATTAATGGAATAACCTGTCAACTCTTCAGATATTAATCTAATTAAAAAAATTTTTACCCATCATTAAAAGAGTCATGTATAAGAATTGAAAACAATATCTTCAAGAAACAATAAAACTGCAGTAAGTAATGTTAAATTTGACCAATAGATGAATGTTATCCAAGAAGGACTCCATGTTCACATAATGAAATAATCTATTAGATATTGTGTTAATCAATTATCTTTCCTTAGATTTATTTATAAATAGTTTTATGTTGCACTTAGTTTGTTTGCATACACCACCAAAACAAGTTATTATCACTTATAAATGGCTTTACACTACAGGCAGAAATCGAGTTACTCTGTTTCAGCCAACAAAGGGGAGATAACAAAGACCGCACTGTATCAAAAGTTTTTCCCCTTGCATTAAGTTGTTAATGTTGATATTCAGAGACTAGCCCTGCGTTCATGAACAATCTTAACCCTTCTGCCTGAGCTCCTGAGTCGAAGTTCCCAAATAATTAGTATGTAATGTTTCACCGTAGATATAAAAATGTTTACAAGTGTTTACCCACCATTAAACATTAAGCATTTTTCTCTAACACTGTTCAAATGGCTGGACATTCCGTCATTTTTTCTCTACCACAGTTCAATTGGGTACTGGATATTACATCATTTTTTCTCTACCACTGTTCAGCTGGTGGCTGGGCTTTACGTCATTTTTCTGTACCACCAGTAAAGCAGTGGTCAGGGCTCAAAGGGTTAAGTTTTAACATTTTCAGCCAAGTTCACACAGACATCACTAAGAGCTTTGGACAGAAATAAAACATTGTCAGAAATTTTTTTAATAAATGAGCATTGAAAACCATGGCATCTCATAACAGTAATGAATAGAATCAACAGCAACAGGAAATGTTTTGCTCCCAGGGAAAAAGAAACCGAAAGGATATAAAGTAAATACAAACAAGATAAACTAGGTAGGAAATAAAAAATGTCAAAAAAGAGAGGGAAATATTGAAAAATATTGAAATATCTCATACAAGTATTAAAAGAAACCAAAATCTTGTAAAGGTATATTTTATTACAAATGTTAATAGAACTAAAATTACAGTGGATTTAAAATTCAACATTGATTTTTTATTGGAAAAGTTAAGTGTGAAGTGCATTCCAAGACTAATGAATGAAAACCAAAGATATATATCGAATTTGTCTGAATTTCGGATAAACATAAATGGATTTGTCTATATTTCTGAGATGAGGTATTATGTACATTATTTACATTATTTGGACTATTTTCCTCATCTTTGTCGCCATATTTATCACAATGTTTCGGCCATTGTACACTCCAGCCTTCTTCAGGTAGTTCGAATGTTGAACTGAACCCTTTATTTCACTCACTGGGGTAGACTGTTCTAGTTCCATGTGCCATGTCTAATGGATGTCAGTTATCTCCTGTTAATTCCCTTCTCCAAGTTCTCCATTGCCTTAACTAGGTATTGAACTCACACTCTTTGGGTCCTGTCACTGGATCTAACACCTTTATCCACTCAAGGACACATGGCAACAGAATTCTAATGACGTCACGTTGAGTAGCCTAAGCAAGACAATGTAACCACTAGGAGTGAGTTATAAAAGCATGTCATCATCATATATTTTTAGCATAAATTTTGACATCAAATTGATGTTCTTTTGAAATGATCAGTTGGTATAAGCATAACTGAACTTTAATATGATGATGATGATGATGCATTGAGTGTTTTCCATTAAATTTCCACATACATTAAAATATTTTCATTACAATTGACTGTCATTTACAGACTGTAACCAACCTGAATTGATGAATATTAGTTAACATCAAGAAGTCATCAATAATTAAGGTATTTCATGTACTTTTTCTATTTTTAATGTAAATAAATGTTGGAATTGATGAATATTTAGAAAAATTGAACATCAATTGACATCTAATAGAAGTAAATATCATAGTAATGTTTTTGAATTTTGTTATGGTCCGGATCCTTGTACTATGGTGATAGTCCAAGGTAGAACCAATAAAGAAGAACTCTAACACGGATATGGAATAACACAGATATATTACAAACAGGAATATATACAGAGAAGTAGAAAGTGTTAGTACGAACAATCAGGTTTAGTAGTAATTGTCTGAACGCGACTGTTTCAGACTGCCTCTGACTTGGCTCTGATTCACTCTGACTGACTGACGGACTTCTGATTGAACTCCCTGCTTCCTCTTGAGGCGCAGTATTTATTACGTATAGAATAGTCCATTATGTTATTATGGGTAAGGTCCCATAACAAAATTAATCTCAGGGAGGCAGTGCCACTAGCATGCAAGGAGTTACAGAGTGAAAGCAAGAGTAAAGAGGGGGGTGTTTGAGGAAAGGATAAAGAGAAAGACAGAGATCAGGATCAAGGCATCAGAAGATGTCGATTGACATTACATTTAAATATTTAAAGATTATAGCTGTCAGGGAAGCAAGTAGGAAGAAGGGAGTTCCCATCTCTGTCCCATAATGATTGTTCCATTTACGTACAAAATTCATAGACTAAATGGAACAATCATTATGGGACAGAGGTAGAATAATATAGAAGAATGGCTACTATAATAATCAGATTAAATTGAAAGAGGAAACATTTTTTAAGTATTTCACCCCAAGCAAGGCGAGAGTGCCACTAGCACACAAGGGGTTACAGAGAGTGAGAGCAAGAGTAAAGAGGGGGGGTTGAGAAAAGGATAAACAGAAGGACGGGGATCAGGATCAAGGCATCAGAAGATGTTGATTGATATTACATTTGAATATTATAGCTATCAGGGAAGCAAGTAAGAGGAAGGGAATTTCACAGATGGGAAGTGCAAGAGAAAAAGCTGCTGGAGTAGAAGAGGCAGCTACATTTAACTGTTGACAGTGAAAGGATGGGACCGAGATGCCAACTTAGTAGCACGCTTGAATTCATGCAGTTGGGGTACCAGTGAAAATATCTCATCAGAGTAATTGCCATGAAAATATTTGTAGAAAAGACAGAGGGAAGCAACAGCACGTCTGTGAGAAAGTGACTGGAGTTGAGATGCCAGATCAGGACCTATCACATTGCATATCCATCTCTATAAAAATGGTTCATGGACCATATGTTCCTTTAAACCTGCATGTCCATGCATCAAAGGGAGAAGTTCTTAATTGACTATATTTTCATGAAACTTTTAATTGCTTTCAGCAGAGGTTACATATCTCACTTCCCTTACAAGGAAAATAAATATTAGTCAGAGAAAGAAATACAATTCAGACATAATTTGAAATCATCTTTCTCTTAATTGATTAGTGCTTCTATTTTCAAGTACCATTAGCATTAAGATATTTGCAAAGTTTACCTTAAAGGAATTACCTCGAAGAAGTTTGCTTGAAAGAGGTTCAGTTATATAATTTCTAATAAACATTTTAGGCATTCCTAATTTCTGTGTTTCATCATGGCATTCCAGGGGTAAAAATACAGACAAGATTTAACAGGACTGTCAAGAAAATCTCAACTCCCAAAAATCTAGAGACGGTTCAGGCCGCGGAAAAGAAGCAAAATCCTTTCCGCGACATAACATGACCATCTAACAACTTGCATTAAGTAAATACAAAAATAAAAAGGAAAAAAAAACACTTCCCTTATAACTACTTCAGGGATCACATGGTAATAAAGTCATGTGACCCTTGTAACTATAAAAAGTTAGTAAAAATGAAACCACTTTTAGTTAGTAAGAAACAACAACTCAGCTAAGTACATTGCTTTTTCTTCTGCCTGAACAGTCAAATTCTCCACGGGATGTATAGTAATATAAATCATTCCTTTGATCAGGATGTGAGAATGAAATCTGAAGCCATTTCAAGACCTCCTCACACAACTTACTTGTTCTGAATGATCCATTCTTCACTTATACAACAGTTTAATTGTTGAAATGAAAATAACTCATTATTTATCAGTTTCACATTGTCATCATGTATATTAGTTGACTTTATATTATTTTTATTTATTGATGATTGATTTATACAGAGAATCAAGTCAGCCTGATAAATGACTCCGAGTTGGTTGTGTGTGGTGCTGTAAGCAGCAGGAGTTGTGTAATTTTTTATGTAAAAAATGTATTGCAGGTATAAAAAATTACCAACAGTACATTTGTGTTCATCTTGTCTGGTTTTTGCACGTCCGTACGTGAGAGTGCTTCTATCGACTGAGAAAAAAAACTGGTGTTATATAGCTCTCCCAGTCCCAGACTCTAGCTGACTATTGGCTAATACCTGACCAGTATCATTCATATGCAAATAGTCGGTGACACCTACTCTATGTAGAAGGTCTTCTCTCAACAACCGATTGTGGAAGGGGACGCAACTCCTGATTATCTGTTACAATTGAGTAAAAAATTGACATTTCAAATGAAACACAATATAGTAAAAGTAGAAAAGAAATAATCCAAAAGACTTACCAAAAAATCATTTAAATTTCCATTTGCGTTTCCATTTCCTAAATAGAAAAGAAATCAATCAAAAATTTAAAAAGGCAAAATCAGAAATTTATGAAATTTAAAGAACCACAGATTTGATGAACTGCGAATTCAATAAATGTATGGCATGATTATAGTTCAACTTTTATCTTTAGCAAAACTTCTCAGTGAGGAATGCTCAGAGACATTAAAGGAATAAGGAACTTAGTAGATAAAGGGGTAACGAAGCCAAGAAGGAACAATCTATTACTTTGGCCCAACCATGGCAATCGACAGAGGGAGAAAGAGAATACACTATCTTAAAGGTTCAAGAGATTAGAAAACTGCAACAGACTGTGGGTTGCAACCTAAGGTAGGATTTCACGTCAAGGTCAGGTAAATTTTTCTAGTTAAAAAAAAACCACTGTATAGGTAGAAATAGTAACTCAAAGATAGATGCTTTTAATAAGATAGGAAAATGTGCCATGTGACACTTATAAGTCATATGACACCTAAAATTTGCATGATCAGTAAAATAAAACCAATCACAAGGAAAGCAGGTGTTTTTTTCTTTTCTTCTCCTCCTCCCTCCTCTAACAGTAGCCATGAAGGTAAGTTCATTACTCTTTTTCTGATATATCATTGGTTAATTTATTGAAGTGGCTCTCTTTATCATTTAGAGAGATACATACCAGTAACTAATTGTAAGCAAAACTATTGACTTGAATACATTTTCCTAATGAAAGAATGCAATTCATTTTTTTTTTATTTCAAATATTTTTAATTCTTAGATATAATGAGGGAAAAAGAAAGTTTTACGAAAATGAGAGAGAGAGATGAATTTGTGTTAAGTTTTCAAAAGATAAAATCTGATGACAAAAGTTGATAAAATCTGATGTTTGTCATCAGATTTTGATAAATTGATAAAATCTGATGACAAAAGATAACAATGTTCTAACCACTCAGATACAAGTTATCTGACCCTGAGAATCTCACCATAGTCAATTTGTTCATCAAGTTGACTCCTTCAACTTGGCAATCTCCATGCATGATACCTTTAGAATATGCCTGAAAACTATATATATATATAAACTATATATATATATATATATATATATATAGATATATTGCGATCGTCAGACAAACTGATTAATATTTTAAAAATTTTGGATTTATGTAAATTGCATGTATTGGTGTTATTATGGAAGTGGGGGGGAATTGTCGTTGTGATGTCACTCATACTCACGCAAACATAGATGCATGTCCGTACACCCATTGAGGTACGCAGACACACAAACACACATGCTCGCCCGCCAGGGCTCATACAAACTTAAGAATTAATCAGTTTGTCTGACGATTGCAAAAGCATGAAACCCAGGGTCACAAACTCACATCAATCCAACCAAACATGTTAGCTCTATCTCTGATATTGAGCACTTTCTAATAAGTACCGCGCATATAATATATAAATAATAATATATATAATATATTACACATATGTATATATATTTATATACACACACTTTTCACACACACACACACACATATATATATATATATATATATATATATATATATATATATATGAGAGAGATAGAGATAACTCTCTGGAGGGTGAAAAGCATTTCTTTATAGCTTTCCAGACGGTCTCATTTAAATGTATTGTAGTCTTGTCCATCCAATCAGATAGGATCTACTACAACAGCAAACATAACTGTTCAACAAAGAAAAAACAGATTCCCTGCATTTTTACTTCCAATATCCATCAAATGCCACAAATACTAGATAAGGGTTGGTCAATCTAAAATGTTTTCAATTTCCATTCAAGTCAATAATCTTACCTGTAGTAATGGCAACCCTGTTTTCTTCCAAATTTGACCCATTAGGATTATATGAGACATTGCTATTGAGCTCTTCAGCTGAATGAACTGAAAAGCAATAAAAGAGAAAGTCAGTATAAGAATCACCTGAAATCAATAGGAAAATTAAAAATTGAAGAAAATAAGGTTAAAACATTTGATAATTTTTCCACATAAACAAAAAAGATACTTGATTAAGTGTGATTGAATAAAGCTTATTATAAATAGTGATTATTTTGAATAGCATCTCAAAATGTTCACTATGTTAGTAATCTGAAGATTGCAGAAACATTACTTTTACAAAGCTGTGTCTAAACACCAATGGTCTTAGTCATCAGCAAATACCAAAATGTAAAAATCACCAATCTTTTATGAAGCTCATAAATTTTTAGAATGAGTGCAGTTTAAAACTATCTATTATATAAAGTAATACATTTTGTACAACATTGCAACATAAAAAATGGTTAAGTCTGTTAAAAGAAAAAATGTTTGATCCTGTTAAGTAAATTCAGTTTTTTTTTTTTAAAACATTGCAAAACAAAGAAAAGAAAATAGGCTGTCGTGTACATGCGGATAAGCATGCAAAGCTAATAAAAGAAAATTATTTTACAGTACGATAATATTGTGTTATGAACTAATAAAAAGATAGATTGATCAAGCAAGTTGGTCAGCATTTCAAGACACTTCAAATGTATAATGCATAAAGAATCAAATAAAAGTGAAATTGTTTATTCAGTTTCATTTCCAGAGGAGAGATTCTTAGGATTAATTTTGTTTTCAATATATAATGACCAAATCTAAAACCAAATACGCTACAAAGTTAAATAAGATGTTATCTATCATAATTAATGTCTAGTACCACAAAAGCAGCCACAGGTGAAGATTTAAATCAACTCACTCCTTTTATTGTAGAGAAATGCTTTCTGAAAGTAGTGAATTCTTTTGCATTAAACTTACACTTTTTAAAAATGGCTGGTATCTTTTTGCTTCAAAAATATATTCTTTTGAATTTGGTACAAGTTTCACACCTCTCTAATACAGATTTAATTTCATGTTCAAGTTTATGCTTATTTATATTTGCATTTCGAATCAACTTTATGAGTTTTTGGGGATTAGGGTGACCAAACTGCTTATGCAATTTGTTGACTATCCATTATTTTTGAGAACATAGGTAGCATTATCTATAGAGACGTAAAGAATAATGGTCTGAAGTGGGGGGGTTGCCGTTTAATTATTCACTTAATCACGACGCAATCGTGCCAATCCTCCGAAGGAACGCCATCGAACGATGGCCAATAATCCCAGAAGTCTCCACTGCCACAGAACTAAAAAAAAAAAAATCTATCAGCAAAAGAATATTTAACTATTTTTTTTTTTTTTATCTCTGTGTCCTGGGCGACAGACCTCAGCTCAACCGCAGACCTGATCAAATTACCGGCCTAAAATGTATCCACACAGGTCACATCCTAAATCAACGACTTCCCCATTTTAAAAGGAAAAATGGTAATGCCATCTGGCCGCTTTCCATCACCATGGTCGAGGCCTACAGGTTCAATTTGGGATTCAATGTAGCACTATCACCAAAAGAAAATGTAGAAGCAAAGGTTTGTTCCCCAAAGACCCCACATAATCACTTAACAAATATTCTTGGAGCCAACCTTTATCAGACAGTGGTCGAACACTCTGTGTCCAAAATAGCACAACCCTTTACATCATTCACTAGGGATTGTAACCTTGTACTATTAGTACAACCCACAAACAAGGACAACAGAACATTTTCTGACATATTCCTTTGCAGACCATGATCACTGTTCTCATATGCATGAAGATATTCATGTGCCCAATAAAATATTGTGTGACATATAACACATCTTGAAACCTGCCCACCGCGACACACAGGATTTAATTTACAGCCATGTGACTGTATAGGAAGTTGCCTAGTTGAAGTGGGACTATCCTGGGTGGCACAAGTATATGGTCAAAACAGTCCATGTCTGAATCTATCTGTAAAAAGGGTGTCCTGACTATCCATTTTTATCTCAGGCTTCGGAGTACATTTATCAATATTTGAAAGAGTAACTGAATGGTATTAAAATACATTAATGGTATTCTTATATTTTTGAAAGACACTTTCTTCAATGCTGACATTATTAAGTTTGCATCCTTCTTAGTAAGGTTTATAAATGAAAGGAGCATAAATGCCATTACTGGGTCTGGAAGAGCCATGTTTTCCTGTGTAAACTTAAAGTAGGTGTGATCAAAATCAATCAGAAAATCCTTTATTTCTGTTTCTGCTGCTCCATGCAAATTTTACAAATTATTAAAGGAAACAAATTGCTACCTCTCTTTATCTGGCAGAAATAATTCATCCAGTTTTTGGATGATAGTGTTCACACCTGTCTCAGTTTCCAAATCTTCACTATCTATCTCAGCAGAGGAAGCTATGGCATTTCCACTTAAAGATAGGTAAATGGCCAAAGCCAGTTTTGATTTTGGAAGGTCTGTTAACCTACTCCAAATATGTAGGCTTTTCTTCCATTGTTCATAGGCAGATTCATTGTCTAGCCTTGGAGGCCATTTGAAAGAACATGTATTGGAATTATCCATTTTTACATAAATTATAAGACTTAGAGTCACAAAACTTTAAAAGTAACAGAAAAATAGAAAAGGAAATTCATTTAATTTTTGTTGCAGATCAACTACCAGCTGTGCTACCAGCTGTTAATCCTCCTGTTAGTCTGAATATTGTCAACTGAACAATTGAAGCATTTTCAATATGGCTACCAGCATTTTCTAGAAGCCACCACCTGGTGGCACTAAACAACAACTAAAAGACAAGGGTAATAACTACAACATTAACAAGACATGGGAATTTCCCAATGAATCAGTTAAGTGTCGTACATGATACACACTTGGGTGGTTATGTCTCTTTTGATTTATGACTGACTAAGCAAAAGATTTTCCCACAATAAGTTACTGTTTCTTTCTGTAGTAGATTGGTTGCCACCCAAGTCTATAGAACCTAGTCTGACCTGCTATTCAACCCATAGCTGGAGGAGGAGAGATGGATTTATACCTTTTTGAAAAGTATTTGTGTGTAAGTGAATGTAACGAACCTGACTGGAATTCAAACTCGGCTCTCCAATTTCTCATTCTGAGCCAATATCCATTACACCACCCACACATCCTTTTCCCAACACATCTAAGAAATTCAGAAAAAAAAAATCATACGTTTAAACCAATAGTTCCCAACTGATTTTGGGCCATGCCCCACTTTGGTATTTCTAAAATTCTGGTGCCCACCGTAATATTTAATTCTTACATATTCAAAATTTTATTGCAATTCATGTGAAGGAAGCTTAAAAGGCCATTAACTAAACAAACTTCCAAAGACCATGGTGTCCATGAAAGAGAAAAAATTAAAAAACAAAAAGACAGTTAAATATATATATAGTTTCAAAACATATAATAGAGAATGAAAGGCAGAAATATAAAATATTTGAATGAAAGCTTATTCTCTAATATACTTGGATCATTTTAATCATGAAATAATAATGCAAAATGAAATTTGAAATGACTAGAAAACAATTCACTGTTAATAAATCATTCTCATTTTTCTCCCTTATTCTGTTGGTATAGTAAGTTGAAGGGTGCACATCCTGTGTATGCACCACCAAAATATTACCATGGCCCACAAATGGGGCATGCACCCCACATTAGGAATCATTGGTTTAAACATTTAGAAATTTATAGAAGATATCAGCTTTAATTTTCTATAATGAAATGTAACAATCCTTGCAAAAATATTCCTTTTCTACAATTCTTCCCTTGTTGTTGTTGTTATTTTTTAACAACTATATTTTTCCAGTATCACTTCTGCAGGAAAAGTGGTTTGTGGCTAAAAACTAATGATGAAGCTTTTAATTTTTTTCTTTTTGACTTTTTTTATTTTGCTACAAGAATCAGTCAGAATAAAATGGACTTAGAATAAAAGAAATCAGTCAGAATAAAATAGACTTAGAAAAAGAAAATGTATTTAGGCATCAAATATCAAAAACATTCTGTTGAAGCATACTCAGATATTTCATACCCACCTGAAAACAATATAAAATATTATAGAACCTGTCACTTTTCTTTTAACTAAGGTTCACCCAATACAAAGTGCAAGAGCCATTCAAGGAAGTGTAAATGTTTTTGAACGCTGTCAAGGATGAAAAACTTTAACCCAAATATGGCAACAATGCTTCATTTTTTGCCATATTTTGTAAATAGAAAATTCAGCAGTGACTTTTAAGAAAGACAATAAAATTATGTTTAGCAGAAAAATATTGTAAGAAATCTTTTTTTTCTTTTTTGTAATCATAATAAAATTTCAGCTTATAAAAAAATAATTCAATGTTTGAAAAGGAAATTACTCTAAGACATAAGAAAAGAAAAACCGGATATTAACACTTAACAACATAGACAGTGAAAAGAAAGAAAAACATTGAAAAAATAAAATCTAAATTTAGAAAGCATTTTAGAAAACATCAGTTTAGCAAACAAGGTACATAATAATGGCAGTTAAACAAAATACGTGAAGCAAGTTTATTTCTGTAAAAGAAAAAAAATCAATCAAGACAAATAAGAAGATATATCATCAAAGATTAACAAAAATGGAGAAACAGACATACAATCAGATATTAACAATAGCATGCTGTAGAAAAAATAAAAAAGAAGGGAAGATAACAGAATAATTTAATCAAGGCAGAATGTGAAGAAGATGATCTCGGAATAAAGACTAGATAAATATAAGGAACAAATATTGGTATTTTTTTTTTTTTTTATTTAGACATAATCCATTGTACCCAACAGAATTTTAAAACACAAATTAATTGAAACAAAATGAACAATTCCATTATTATTTACTTTTTTTTTGTATTTTTCCAATGAAACATGACCCAGTGCACATGTTAGTACTTCGTATGTCCATCCCACGAAGTTGTTCCTTGTAGATTAACTACAGATTCTCGATTGGATTTAAATCAAGAGAGTTTTCAGGCCAATCTAAAATTCAAATACTAAGCACT